TTTCCCACCGTTTTAGACTTATATTACAGACCCCGCATCTTGAAATGGCAGGAGTTTCTTGGTTAATGCGATCTTCAGCCTGCTTGGCCGTGATCTGCAGCTTCACCCTGGTTGGAGCCACAGGATTTTTCACAGTGCATCCAATTGGGGAAGCGGTGAGTGACCCATATGGGTTTTCTTAAAATGGGGGTACCCGAAAACCACGGGTTGCAATACTAATATGATCATCCATGACTTGGATGTTTTGGGGTATGTACCCCTATGATGAAGGAGACCTCCATACGTGGGGTATACCCTGCATATCACTGGGGTATAGTATGGTTATGAAGTACTTTTCAACTGGGATGCACCCCCAAGTAGAACCACAGCATCATCCCCATCGGGATTGCACGAACGTGTTATGGGTAAACAATAGCCACAGGGAAGGGGAATGGAAATCGGTGATTTTACCTCATTCTTCAGCACCAAACAGTCCTTCTGATATTGGCTTGGAGGATCATCCCATGTACACATAGGATAAACCACGAATCGGAAACTTACTAACCCAAGCACCAGTTACGATCCCTGGGATGATCCTCCCATCGGCACAGGCCATGCTAGGCTCAGCCTTTGTGGTGCCGAGCGCACAGCTGCCACAGATCAAATCCAAGACCTTGGAGGTGTCGAGATCAGACATGGACTTCCGACTGGTGCTCATTGGTGAGACTTAGATTGGTAGTATTGAATATAAGCAGGCAACACGACAACACCCTGGAAATAGTGGGGTGAGCCATTTCAACCCACCAAGAAAAACAAGATCTCTTTGGGCACTGGTGTTTTCAAGAAAGCAATAGATGCTCTGGCAAGGGAAAGCCGAGGTTTCTGACGATCCACGCGCAGAAGCAAGAGCCCACAATATGTTCAGAGGATGCGAAGATTGGGTTTGTTTCTGACCAAGATTTGTATAGATGGAGATAAGATAAAAGAGCCAAACTGCTGCGAATCATCACGCAGGTGTCACGGTCAGCTGCGCCGGCAGCAAGCCATGCAGCATCTGCAAGTGGAACATCAGGCAATTTTGGGCGATGTGTCAACTTGCTGGAAGCACAGCGTTGTCACCAGTAGGGAATGGTTGAATCTTCTTCTTGGAACTATAGAAGGCAACCATGAGACTCTGTACTAACGAGCAACTCATCTAGGACAAGGCAGCATTGGATGCCACAAAGAAACTTTAATGCCACAAAGGTTGAATCCAAGCATGCTGCCCCCATTGCGTCATGGGAATGGTTTTGTCACCCAAAAAATGGGCAAGCAGCTATGGCGTCTTGGGACTCCCAAATCACATGGTTTGCCATCATATTCACCCGATTTCAGGTTAATTATCCACTCAACCTGCAGGTGTTTTCTCCATGGCAGGACCGGATGGGAGTTGGAAGGTTGGCCAAAGTTGAGACTCAGATGCCATTCAGCCATTCACAAGGGCCATCGATTCAACGAAGTGTGGCAGTGCATTCATTAAAAATTACAAAGGTTTCAGGAAATCCTGGTTTGTAGGAGGCACCCACCAAAAGAGGCGTTAATCTGAGTAAAGATTCTTGCATTTGCCTCAATCCTGATCCCCATTGTCGCCGTTGAGTTTCACAATCTCCCCTAGATTTTGCTGTTGATACAGATCCTCAAGCAATGTTCGTTCAATCAATCCCTCCCACATTTGCTGATTATTCTTCCTATATTTGTTGCTCGCATCAATCCTCATCATTGGCCCTTTCTTTTGTTACGCAGGATCGGTTGAAGGGAGATTCACATGAAATCACCAAATATATCATACATAAATTCATATATATATATATATACGTATCTGTATATCATATATATAAATGTATGTAATGTAATGTAATGTAGTGGAGTGGAGTGGAGTGTAATGTAATGTAATGTAATCTAATGGAATGTAATGTAATGTAATGTAATGTGTGTATGTATGTATGTCTGTTCGGTATGGTATGGTATGGTATGGAATGGAATGGTATGGTATGGTATGGTATGGTATGTAATGTATGCAATGTATGTCATGTATGTCATGTATCTAATGTATGTAATGTATGTAATGTATGCAATGTACGCAATGTATGCCATGTATGAAATGTATGTAATGTATGCAATGTATGCAATGTATGTATGTAATGTATGTAATATATGTAATGTATGTAATGTATGTAATGTATCTATGGTATGGTTTGGTTTGGTATGTATGGCATGGTTTGGCGTGATTGGTATGTATTGGTGTGTATTGGTATGTATTGGTCTGTTTTGTTATGTATTGGTATGTCTTGGTATGTATTGATATGCCTTGGTATGTATGAGTATGTATTGGTATGTCTTGGTATGTATTGATATGCCTTGGTATGTATTGGAATGTATTGGTATGCCTTGGTATGTATTGGTATGTATTGGTATGTATTGGAATGTATTGGTATGTATTGGTATGCATTGGTATGGATTGGTATGTATTGGCATGCAATGGTATGTAATGGAATGTAATGGTATGTAATGGTATGTAATGGTATGGAATGGTATGGAATGGTATGGAATGGTATGGAATGGTATGGAATGGTACGGTATGGAATGGTATGGAATGGTATGGAATGGAATGGTATGGTATGCATGGTATGCATGGCATGCATGGCATGTATGGCATGTATGGTATGTATGGTATGTATGTATGTATGTATGTAAGTATGAAAGTAAGTATGAAAGTAAGTATGTAAGGTATGTGAGGTATGTCAGGTATGTAAGGTGTGTAATTTAGTAATGTATGTAATGTATGTCATGTATGTAATGTATGTAATGTATGTAATGTATGTAATGTAGTAATGTATGCAATGTATGTGGTGAATGTATTGCATGTAATGTATGGTATGTATGGTATGTATGGTATGTATGGCATGTATCGTATGTATGGCATGTAGGGTATGTAGGGTATGTAGGGTATGTAGGGTATGTAGGGAATGTACGGTATGTAGGGTATGTACGGTATGTACGTAAGTAGGTAGGTATGTAGGTATGTAGGTATGTAGAGATGTAGGTATGTAGGTATGTATGTATGGATGTATGGGTGTATGGATGTTTGGATGTAAGGATGTATGGATGTATGTAGTGTAATGTAATGTAGTGTAATGTAGAGTAATGTAATGTAATGTAATGCTATGCATGTATGTAACAAATGTATGTATGTATGTATGTATGTATGTAACAAATGTATGTATGTATGTATATATGTATGGATGGATGGATGCATGTATGTATGTATGTGATTACTGTAATAAATGTATGTATGTATGTAATGTAAGGTAAGGTAAGGTAAGGTAATGTAATGTAATGTAATGTATGTAATGTTGGTAATGTATGAAATGTATGTAATGAATGTAATGTATGTAATGTATGTTTGTATGTTTGTATGTTTTTATGTTTGTAATGTAATGTAATCTAATGTAATGTAATGTAATGTATGTAATGTAATGTAATGTGATGTAATGTAATGTAATGTAATGTAATGTAATGTAATGTAATGTAATGTAATGTATGTAATGTAATGTAATGAAATGAAATGAAATGCTATGCATGTATGTAACAAATGTATGTATGTATGTATGGATGGATGGATGGATGGATGGATGGATGAATGAATGTCATGTATGTCATGTATGTAATGTATGTAATGTATGTAATGTATGTAATGTATGTAATGTATGTAATGTATGTAATGTAATGTAATGCAATGTAATGTAAGGTAATGTAATGTAATGCAATGTAATGTATGTAATGTATGTAGGTAAGTAAGTAAGTATGTATGTATGTAATGTATGTATGTATGTATGTATGTGTATGTATGTATGCATCCATGGATGGATGTATGTATGTATGTATGTATCTATTTCTGTAATGTATGTAATGTAATGTAATGTTATGTTATGTTTTGTATGTATGTAATGTATGTAATGTATGCAATGTATGTAATGTGTGTAATGTGTCTAATGTGTGTAATTTGTGTAATGCGTGTAATGTGTCTAATGTGTGTAATGTGTGTAATGTGTGTAAGGTGTCAATGTGTGTAATGTGTGTAATGTGTGTACTCTGTGTAATGTATGTAATGTAATGTAATGTAATGTAATGTAATGTAATGTAATGTATGTAATGTATGTAATGTAATGTAATGTGATGCAATGTAATGTAATATAATATAATGTAATGTATGTATGTATGTATGCATGTAATATATGTTATGTCTGTCTGTCTGTCTGTCCGCCTGTATGTATGTATGTATGTATGTATGTAGTGTATGGATGGATGGGTGGATGAATGTATGTAATGTATGTAATGTATGTAATGTATGTAATGTATGTAATGTATGTAATGTATGTAATGTATGTAATGTATGTAATGTATGTAATGTATGTAATGTATGTAATGTATGAAATGTATGTAATGTATGTAATGTATGTAATGTATGTAATGTATGTAATGTATGTAATGTATGTAATGTATGTAATGTATGTAATGTATGTAATGTATGTAATGTATGTAATGTATGTAATGTATGTAATGTATGTAATGTATGTAATGTATGTAATGTATGTAATGTATGTAATGTATGTAATGTATGTATGTATGTATGTATGTATGTATGTAGGTATGTACGTACGTACGTACGTATGTATGTATGTATGTATGTATGTATGTAAATAATATATATATATGTCTGTAAATTATATATATATATATATAATTATAATGTATATCCATGGAGAAAAGTACATAAACAGTCCTTCAAAGAAGTTCAATGAGCAGAGTCCGCAGGAGTTGTAGCTGCGGCCACCTTTCTAGCCAGGCGCAGCACAAACGGAAGGGACAGGGCCTTTGTTGTTAGAAAAATGACCCACTAAAAGTTGAGGAAAGGTGGAAGAAAAATTGTAAATCGTATCACAACCATCAGCAAATTGGAAAACCATGATGGTTTCAAACAGTCATAGCTTTGTTTTCCATCTCTGTGATGCAAATTCCAGGCAGCGTTGATCGCCATTTGACTTTTTCACTGCGCCACCACCGCAGCCAGCTACGAAAAACATGCATTCAGTGGCAGCCTCCATTGTCGCAGCAAGACAATATCTCTTTCTAACCGGAACCTCAAACTGTGGTACTACAAAGGTGAGCTCATCGGCTTTGCAGCCCAGTATGGACAGAGATCGTTCAATCCCCAAAGGGCCTGGAGTTCCACCGTGCCATGCCATGGCGAGCAATGACGCGGCTCGGGGTCTTCGGGAGGCCGAGGTCGGGCTGGTGGGGCAGCAAGGACATTTCTCCTGCATGCAGTTTGCCGGGGAACAAGTTTTACATCTATATATTAGGCATGTACATATATTAGAAACATACACACACATGCATATATAATTATATATATGCATATATACACATAATATGTAATACTACATATATATATATATATCCAACTGGGATGGTCCAACAAGGTCAGTAGCGAACTGAAGTTCCCAAGTCACAAAGATTGGAGGCTATGGCTACAAGCTATCCCTTGACACGGCAAAGCGGTGTGCTACCCAGCAGTAACCTATTTTCCTCGGACATCAAATGACTTCGAAATACAGCCATGGTTTGGACTGTATGAGACAAGTGTTCCAGCACTTGCATCCCCGCCACTCCGGACTTTGAAAATTTCACTAACACAAAACAAAACCCAAAGCAACAAGACAGCAAAAACAACAAAAACGCCAGTCATCCCATTGTGCCATGAGTGGAAACCTGTGTTTGTGTGTGTGTGCACCATTGACCTGTTGAAGCACATCAAGACCTTCTTGTCGTCTCTTTCGTGCGGATCGCATCTGCTCGTCGCTAACCAGTCGCCAATGAAAATGGAGGTTATAGTACATCTCAAGTTCCTTAGCTTGTCCCTTAGTTAACGCATTGCCAATTTGTGCTTCGCTATGAACCCATCTCAGTTGCAAGTCAGTAACCCTTTGAGAGTGTTTCAAACCAAGAAGTTCAAGGTCGGTTTTCCGTTCAGCACCCTTAATTGCAAGTTCATCACTTTGCAACTTGTCATACACATTACGACTATCAGAAACAAGGCAACCGGGTGTTTTTCGAACCAGGGAATCAACATCAAAAATATCAACCTCAGATGACATGAACTCACTCCATTGAAACCGAACATGGTACATGTAATCCTCACCGGTAGTAGCAGCGATAGCTTCGGCAGCTCCAGGACTTCTACACTGTCGTTCTATCTTATTGGAATGCCAAGCTATGGGAAGAACCTTACAGACCTCGCCTGCCAACATGGTCATTGGTGCCAGACCTACAAATATACCTTGTGTGCTGCTTCCGTTCTGACGGTTTTGGCCAGCGGCATCAGCCCAGGTAAAAACTCCCACAGGGATGCTTTCAGGAATGGCATGGATGACAAGTTTGTGGTCCTTTCGGGCCTTTGGAAAAGACACGAGACGATTGGTCTTTACAATTGTCTCCACTGTACTGCTAGAAACCTCTGACAATAAAAGGCCTACTTCAGCTGACACATGTGGTGCCGTCTGCTGGGCATACCAGCTCAGTGCGCCTAGTGTGGCCCGTAGTTGCCCTTTTTCTCGGTCAGTGGTGGCCTCATTGCTCTGCTTTTTCCGTGTGGCATTCAGGAAAATCTCTGGTATCTTCTCCACATACTGTTTCTGAGACAGGTGAAAGGACCCATCCGGCTGCTCCTCCACCAAAACTCCACACTGGGTAAAAGACTTGGTCTCCCAGTCGGTCCATTTGAACTTGTTCTTGATGGATTCCAGAATTTTGTTCCAGGCTGGGCAGTGAGGTGGTCCTGTAAAAAGGAAATCGTCCACATGTCCTGCTATCAGGCCCTGCAGTTTCCCTTGAGGTTTCCACATCCACAAGCACGGATCGCTCCAGCTTTTTACCAGTCCTAGTGTTTCCAGATATTCGCTCACTGAGCGATACCACTCTATGGGGGCGTCCACCAAACCATAGCAGCCTTTTCTCACACGGGTGATGCTGCCTTTGTCGAGGCCCATTGCGCTGCATATCTCATCACATGGTATGCAATAGAGCTCACCAGGATACGTACGTCCTTGCAGGAAAGCACCTGTCACATCGCCTTTCCACACCTTCCAACCAAAACGAGCGGTGGCTGCTAGCATCAGTTGTCGTGTTTGTTTGGTCATCACTGGTGATGTTGTAGATCGATGCTCGTACTCTGGATCCTGGTACCCAAGCAAAATTGCCCGAGCCTTGGGCTTGGTACTGCCGTCCTCTTTGACTTTCCAGGTAAGGAGCCATCTCATCTTAATGGCTTTTCCTTCTGGAGGTCGCAGTTCTGGGGGCAAAGCCTCAAAAGCCTTTGCAGCAATGAAATTCTTCACTTCCACTGCCTTTGCTTGTTCAAAACCTTCTCGTTCTGCTGAGGTCAGATTTTTCATGCTGACCTCCACTGCACGTCTCTTTAAGGCACCAACAAAGTAACCCTCAAGGTCATTGATGAAGCTCCGTCGGCTGCGGTTGGTCTCCGGCAAGTCTATGGCCACCTCCACGATGGATGTGGAGTCTTGCCACTGATCTTTGCCACATGCTTCTTGGCGGCTTGTCTCCGTCGTCATGTGGTACCAAGCCTCCTGAGTGACCAGTTCTGCTCCTGCTTCGGGAGCTCCCACTCGCTGTCGGGTGAGAGGAGGAGTGCTGCTTGGAGTTGGCTGCTCACTGCGCTTTCCCCAGACTCGCATCCTGGGTGTTGCTGGTGGTGCCATAGGCGCATCTGGTGGATCCATCTCCACTGGCATCTGGGAGCCACTGGAGTGTTGTGGTCTTGAACTTGAGGAAGTCGATGGCTGAGGATCACTTTGTCCTTGGTGCCATTCTTCCAGGGTAGGTACCTGTGAGGTGACATCTTCAAACTCATTTCCCCCAAGACCATCGGTCAATCTCGTAAAAGTCCATGGTGCTTTGTTCTCGGTGTCTTCATGTAGGTGCTCCAGAAGTTCTTCACGTTGTGTGGCTGGTCTAAGTTGCTCGGGGCAACACTTGATCAACCGTCGGCCACGAATAACCCAGATTGAGCTGCTAGGTCGTAGGTTGCCATCTGGATCTCGGTGAGTCTCGGTGGCTAAGATCCTTGCTGGACCTAAAAAGCAGCCTGTCTTTTGCTGTTGACTGGTGTGATATTTTCCAGATACTTGTTTTCTCCAGTAAAACACCAAATCTCCAGGTTGGTAATTCTGTGGTCGATTGCCACGGGATTGCAGGGCACGTCGGATTCTTTCTGCAGCGTTCCATTCTGAATGAGCTTGCTCTGCTTGTTTCATGCGCTCTACTGTGGTCTCAAAGTCAGTTCCTGGGTGAGGTAAAAACTGCTCTGTTGGTTGCCCAGTCAGTGATTGCACAAAACGTCCGGTCTCATCCGGCGCCCTTCCAAATGCATGCTGTGATGGGGAGCAACCCCGTACCAGTTCCCTGTTGTTGAAGGTGTATATGGCTGTGCTGAGGGCCTCTTCCGGTGAAATCTTTGGGTCACCTTCAGCCAGTTTATCCATGAGGTTCTTTACCCCCTGGATGGCCTGTTCGCAAACTCCCAGCTTCCAGTGGGCCTCGCCCGGTATGAAATCAAGGTATATGCCATGTTTGTCGCAGAACCTTTCTACTTCATTGCTACGGAAAGCACCGGCTGGATCCAAACGCAAATTTTGTGGGAACCCAAAATACTGACACCATCCTTCCCTCAAGTAGTTGGTAAACATCATGGCATTCATAGTTTGTTTGCGACCCTTACACATGATTTTCCCCATTCGAAAACGAGAACCCTCATCAATCAACAGAAGGAATTCAACATGTTCTCCAGTATGAGGATGAATCCATTTTCCCCCATCCCCACTAATGGTGGCCCATTTAGGGGGCAGGGCCTCCAAAGAGGCCACATGTTTGTGTGACACCTTCCGTTTTTCCATGCACACTGGTCACTGGAATTTCTGGGCAAGTTCCACAACCCTACGGGAAACACCATGCTTTTTCAGGGCATCCACCAGGTTACGAATGCTACCATGGCCCGTAGCGGCATGAAGTTGATACAATTGTTTTTGAATAAACGCATCAGATTTTTGAACAGAACCAGTATCATCGTGTCCCAAATCATTCACCATTGACAAATCAGTCTTTTCACATGAACCAACAACATGTCCCCGATAACCCTGATTCAACAGACAAGAACCGCAAGTTTGCTTCCTACCATGAGCTTCAAGTTCTTCACACATGCAACATGCCCCACTCCCAAACCAAGGAACCAATTGAGTTTCACCCCTGATTTCATCAACCAACATCGTATGAGTGAGTTCCTGCATGACACATTTGACAACTCTTTTCGCGAACTCAATCGTATAAAAGGCACTTTGGGAAGTCATCCTACCTTCACACCTTTGATGTTCAATGTTTTTGGGGCATCGACAGGGTAAATCCAACATTTGGGCCATGCGTCGTTGAGTGGTCATGATTTTCCATCCCGTATGCAAGAGGTTCTTGGTCTTTTCATCCCTAAGGTTCACCTGACAACCATTTACAACGCTAATCCAAGGCTGATACCGTTGCATGATTTTCTGAATCAAAGGCAATCGCCAAGCATGACATTTGTGAGACCATTCCCAAGTCGTGTGGATACCTTTTTGAATGGCATAATGCAAGACACAGCTAGCTCCCACATATTGCCGCAGCGCATCACGGCGTTTTTCCTCCAGCTCGGCACGCTGGGCTTCAGTACGTTGATTCAAATTTTGCATTGGGGAGTATGGTCCGCATTCTGTCGAGATCCACACGTGCAAAGGTCTTTTGGCATCAATGGTGTCTAAAATCAACCGAACCCCCGCATCAGTGCGCAAGTCATGATTATTCCAGTGAGCACATCTAATGGCAGCTTCAGGATATCCAGCATGTTTTTGAATCTCCGAACTCAAAACACTTTCAGGGGAACACGCAACTTCCATAAATAAAGTTCTTTTCTCTTGGTGATCCTGAACAAGCGACTGGAAAAAACCTGGAGCTAAGTTCCAAGACTGCTGTTCTAAGTGTCTGGCGGCTGACTCAGTTAGGAATCTTCGTTCCTGTGATGGATCAACTAAGCTAGGCACTTCAGGTTGCAGGACGGAACTGTTCATGGGTTCTGCTCGCTCACCATGCTGAAGCTGATCTCGCTGTCCTTCTTCCGGGTGCGTCGAGGTTGATCTTGGCGAAGATCCGCCACTTCCTCCTTGAGGTCCTTCACAGCTTCGGTCAACTGACATAGGATCTGTACCGTGGAGTCGCTCATACTGCTGGGCTGGCTGGCACTGCTCTTGATGTCTACTGATTGCATCGGCTTGTGCTTCACCGGCGATGGCTCCTGTTGGAGGTAGTTCATCTTGACATCCATGGTGCGTGTGGGCTGAGTCTCTTGGGTCACCAGCCATTTCGCTAGGCGCGAAAGCTGAACTGAGCAACCGCCCTCGGCCGCTGTGGTCTTGACCCAATTGCAGTACTGCTGGTCGGTGGCAATCTCCTGGTAGGTCATGGAGGCTGCCTTGCCAAAACCCACTGGATCCTGCGCATCTGGAGTGGTCTCCTGGTAGATGCGGGTCATTGCTGCACGCTGCAACTGAGGGATTGTCTCGTTGCCCGAGATTGGCATGCCCAACGTGTTTTGGCACCACATCTGCAGGAGCTTCTTGGTCTTGCTGTTGGTGTTCATGGCGATCACCTGCTAACGCAGGGCGGTCTGGGGTTTCTGGCCCGGTGGTGCCACATCCTTCTCCACATAGAGCTCGGACAGGCGGTGCTGCAGCTCGGCCTTGGTCCACTTCGCAGGAGGATCCTCTCCCAACCGCTGGATCTCGGCACGAAGCTCCTTCTGACTCATGCGAGACATGGCACTCAGTTGTAGATGCCGATGAGGAAGGTTCACTGGGCACTTCCGGTTTTGGTCCCTCAAACTTCTGTGATGCGCATGCTGTGGTGTATGTGTGTGAAAACTCACTGGCAGCAATGACATCACTTCGGCTACAAAACCCATCAACACCATGATAACCCTCATGATCATGACATGACATGTGTTCATGTTTCAAATGACCGGTGGCCGTCAAAACAGTTGCCTGACACAAACTGCCCTCCCTTTCTTCCTCAGGCGGGGAATCAGAGAGGAGATGTCCGTAGCAAAAACTCCTAAGGCTGGGAACCTGGCGAGTGCATGGCATTGCATGCTTCATGAGGTCCTCAGTCAGCGGCAGCAATTGGTGTCCTGCAGCTGAGCGTTCTAGGGGAATCATCTTGGAGTCATCAATGGCGCGAAGCACCATCAGGTCTTCGCTGAAGTCAATCACTGCCTTCAACTTGCGCAAGGTGTCGATGGAGATCAAGATAGGTCCTTGACCTTGGTTCAGAGCGTGGATCTGTAAGGTGCCTGGCTTCTCATTGGCCTTGATCTTCAGCTGGGCCGTCGAGATGCACTGGTTCTGAGAGCTATTGCCAAAACCAAACGTGGGCTTGTTGGCCACGTCCACTTCGGTGATACCATGGTCACCGTACTTGTCCTGGTTGATGTCCATCACGGACTGGATTGCGGTGACTGAGCCCAAAGTGCGTGTTGCACCACCATCAATCACTCCATAGCCAGACATCACGGCCTCACGAGTTGACTTCATGGACTGGGTCGTCTGAGCTGCACAGGCCACAGGGTCCTCTGTGAAGCATACAAGCGGTGCCTCTTCTGCACTCTGGGCCTGTGACTGCCCCTCGGACTTGTCTCGGCCAAGAGGGCAGTCTGAGGTCCTGTGTTGTTTGCCACAACGCAGGCAAGTCGCCGCAGTGGAGCCACTCTGCGAAGAAGGAGAGGAGCGGTTGCCATAGACCTTGTCCTTGGCAAAGGTGTTCTTGTAGTACTGACGATTCAACCTCATTTGGTGTTGACGAGCTCGAGCTTCACGCAAGGTTCTGCGCCCTTGCTGGATCATCGCGTAGGTTTCCTGAGCTTCTTTTTCTGCTGCTCCAAAAAGGACCTGAGCTTCTTCGGTGAGATCATCTGTGGCCCAAGCGTCAGGCCACTCATCCTCCTCGGCGTCCACCTCATCCTGGAGATAGGCAGTGCCCTTGTTCTGCTGGTCAAACTTCTTCAGGTCATCATCAGGCCACTGTTGTCGTAGTTCTTGCGACACCCGGTGCACTCGGTAGTCCTCTTTGAGGGCAGTCTGGACCATGTTGCGGGAGGTGCTGTCCAAACCCGCATCGATCAACATGTACCATCCCTGAAGAAATTCAGGAAGGAGCTCATCGGTGTGGAGCTTCCAAGGCTCATCCTCGCTGGGATCATAGGTGCTCCCACTCCCATAGCTCGCTTTTGGCTGTGAGGTCCACTGCCATGACTGGTAGTGAGAGGACATGTGGTGCCCATAGTTCTCCCAGCGATCATCATCATCAGCCTGCCCTCTTGAGGGCTCAGATCCTGCTGCCGCTGGTTCGGAAGCACCGGGCTCAACCTCACTGACAGGTGCCTCTGAGGGAGTCTCTGGCTGCCAGCCTTCCCACCAAGTCTGATGGGGGGGCTGCCACCAGTGCCTTCCTTGCCATGCCGGCCTTGGTTCACGATCTCGTTGGTAATGGCTTTGTACTCGAGACAGTGCCTGGCGAGCACGGTGGTAGATCTCATTCTTCCTGGTGATGTATTGATTCATGGTTTCGAATCTTCTGCGTCTACTCTGTCTGAAGTAGCGGTTGAGGAACTCGGTCAGCTCCGGAATGGTGGGTCGTCCCAGACAGTTACGAAGGTGGCTCAGCAAATGTGCCACACCCCCGTCATAGGACAGCCATTCTGGCCGCTTCCCCATCACATGCTTCCGAGCTGATCCTGACAGTTCAGCTACCAACCTAGGTCCAGCTAAGTACCTCTTATGGTATGCTATGCTCTGTTCCCATTGGAGTGCTGTCTCTTCATATTCTTGGAACGAAGCAGAGTCACCATCCCATTGAGGTACCCCATCTTTCGATTTCTGAACCCCGGCCATCTCTGTTGTCTCCTGGAAGGTAAAACACGTTCCAGGCCTTTTCTTTTCAGGTCCCTGGTTTCAATTCAGGCTCAAAGCTACCATCCAACTGGGATGGTCCAACAAGGTCAGTAGCGAACTGAAGTTCCCAAGTCACAAAGATTGGAGGCTATGGCTACAAGCTATCCCTTGACACGGCAAAGCGGTGTGCTACCCAGCAGTAACCTATTTTCCTCGGACATCAAATGACTTCGAAATACAGCCATGGTTTGGACTGTATGAGACAAGTGTTCCAGCACTTGCATATATATATATATATACACATACATACATACATACCTACCTACCTACCTACCTACCTACCTACGTACGTACGTACGTACGTACATACATACATACATACATACACATATATATATATACACATACAAAACGTGATACTCTAATTTATATATTTATATATGTATATACACATGGTCCAGCGTTTGGTGGTCCCCCATACCATGTGCGGGGTGAGGGGGGGTAACCCCCATACCATATGGGGGGGGTGGCCGTGAACCAGCCCAGCTAGGCGGAGCGAGAGGGATCGATATCCCTTGAATCCGATGGATGGTTTCCGGAGGCGCTGCACGAGTCCTTCTTCTTTATGGAGGAGCCGAGAGCTCCATTTTTCACCATTCGATGCACCAAATCCCCAGACTAGTAATGATGATTCCTTTTTTTGTTGGTGAACTTGCTGATTCATTCATGGTTTACAGAATAATGAGTATTGGATGATTGGAATTTTGCTTTCCCCCACGTTTTAAGAAACCAAGCGATAGCGATCAGCTTTTGGCTGTTCGGTGGTAGATTGGCAGGAGCGGCGTCAGCTGCGACAAGCCAAGGGGAGGCGGCTGATAGAATCGAATGGATAAAATGGATACGAACTACTCTTATTTCTTGATAGGGTGGAGCGTGTGTTAGATTCGTGAAGTATATTCATGAATGCAGCCCTGTGACCGGAACTGCGGACAGGGTTACAGAATGCCTTCAGCCTGGGAGCATCACCCTAGCAGTTCCCAGGGTAGGAATGGAATATGTGGAAACCCAAGACTCCTGAACTACAATGAGATGTTTGTCACCTGACTAGGGCAACTTTTGGTTGATCCACAATATCCCTCAAGGTCCCTCTGAGACTCTGCACCAGTGCAGGTTAATGGCGCGCGGGGTTTGCTCTGCCATTTCGGAGGTGGCCATGTTTCTAGGTGCCTTACTGGGCCGGTTTGGGGGGATTTGTTCAGTTACTCTTGTCAGCCAACATGTTTTGCGACCACCACGGATGTTGGGGTTTCTTTGGGACCTTGGCAGACCTATACAAGTTAAGAGTTTAATCTAGAGGCTGATGATTTGGAGCCACAGCCTCATCCAGCTGGCCGCAATTGCACAGCTTCACGCTTGGGCGCATGCCACAGCTGATCATTGAGGGGCCACCCAAACCCTTGATTGAAGGTCTTTGTGGGCTGGTTTCAGATCAAATTTCTCGAAAAGCTTTCCAGGAAGATTGGACTAGCAGGACGCTTCATGGCATTCAATAGCCTTCAGGCTCCAAAGTCGTAGCCTGGAGCACCATGGATGTTGAAGTGGGGCTGTTAGTGTCAGCCTCAACTTTGAGATGGAGACTTGCTGCGCCAAGTGCAGCGTCCCATGTCAGGTGCAACATACGGATACGTGCCACGTGGCTGCCAGGTGGCACCTGGGGCCCAGTGGTCGCTTCCGCCCTCGCTGGGGCTGCCGTCCCTGGACTCCGGGGCCGCCGTTCAGGGCTACGATGTAGGGCTGGTGCCTTGCCACTGCTGCCAGATGAAGCAGGACCCATTCTGATGTTGCCATCCATCACCACAGTGACCTTCTACCAGGGTCCAGTAGATGTGGAAATTCTGTGTGGCATGACTGAAGAACTGATTCGAGCGAATCCGTGGCTGGCAGGGCAACTACGGCGTGATAAAGCCACTGGGATGGTGAACCTTTGGGTACCAAGCGAGGTTCAGGATTTCTCCAAACACTTCAAGCAGACGCTGCGAGAAGACCTGGAGATGCATATGCCACTCATGAAAATGCGTGCGACTTTGCAAGACCTCACAGTGAAGCCCGGAATTCAATGTTTGGATGCCTCCGAGCCCCTTTTCTCCGTGGCCTTGGTTCAAACACATACAACCGACACCTTCTGTTTGGTGGTGTCCATGAGCCATGTCCTGGGTGATGGCTTCACCTACTACCGCCTCTATGGTGCCCTGGATCAGCGCCCCACCCAGGTGGCTGGGATCACCTACCAAGGCTCTGCTGGCCCAGCGCGGGCGCGGCTGAACCCCTGGCGGAAGGCGGACTTCCCCAGGGCCGTCGCCCAGGCGCTGGGACCGCAGCAGGCTTGGCCGTCTTCGCGGGCTGCACGCTGGGGCTCGCTGCTGGATGCGTTGCTGCGGCCTAAACATCGATGGCAGGCCTGGGAGGTGGATGCCACGTGGCTCAGAGATCAGAAAAGACGATTTCAGGATGAAGGTGGATTTGTATCCAGCAATGATGTATTGACTTCCTGGTTTTTAACCGCTGGCAACTTTGACTATGGCATTATGTCCGTGAACTTCCGCGGCCGCCTCTGTGGCTTGAATAAGACGCATGCTGGGAACTACAAAGCCGGCTTGGCGTTTTGGCCCACGGACTTTGCATCTCCCAGAGGCATCCGGAAATCCTTGCAGAATCCTCCCTACTTCCGCGCGGAGCGGCAAGATGTACCGGGTTTCTTTCGCAGCGTCGCTGGACGGGTGGGAGTAGCCACAAATTGGGCGTCGGTTTATCAGGAGCTCCATTTGCAGAACTGTCAGCAGTTGTTGCACCTTCCAGTGCTGGGAGATGTGCAGGTGCATGGAGCTATGATTATTTTTCGGCCGCAGCCGGACAAGTTGGGGATGGTGTTGGGTGAACGGAAGCGGCGACCAAGAAGACCAAGTGTGGCTGTGTCGGAACCAATTTGTTGAAGAGAAAAGGACAGCCCTTGTGGGGAGGTGGTGTGGTTTGGCCATGAAACAAGCCTAGATGGGTGAGCCTCAGCCTCCATGAATGGCATTGACTAGCAATATGGCTAAAGTTCAGTAAGCCGAGCACAGCATGCATTTCAAAGGACTTTGCAGGTGGGGTGGGGATCCTGGGAATCCTTGGTGACTTCGCCAGGCTTTTCCCTTTACGGCCTGGCTGCTTTGCGGACACAACTCTTCGGGAACCCACAGCAGGTGCCACCTGCGGGCCCCGGCAGCTGTGATAGCCTCCTTGCCCGGTCCCTGGCTGCAGGACATTGGTTACCTGGCGCTGCCAATCCTTGTGACGATCTGTGCGGTGGCATTCACACTGAACAGGCGCGAGTTGGAGTGTGAAAATAAATTTGAATCTGCAGAGGACGCTATCTGTTGACAGTAGAAACGGTCACAAAAGTGCAAGCGCTGGGTGCCAGGACGATCGCCAACAAGGACAATGTGGCCTCTCTTTGGGCAAAGACTTGGATTATGTGCCATGGATGAGATTGCCATGATGATCAGCTCACAGATACTAGTGGTGTTTTAGAATATTATATAACACGCATCATCCAATTTTTTGGGTACTGAAGCTTGAGCCATGCCTACATGGGAATAGACTCACAGAAGCCCCGAGTTATTTACTGTATTGAATTCAGCTCAGATTTGATATGGTTTGGGAGCAAGCCAAAGCAGTAAAATTCCCACCAATCCCCAGTCCCACATCTCGCAAGCAGATCAGAGGGTTGATCGATCTTCTATCCCAATCTGCTTCTTGGATCTTCTTGGTAGGTACGGCTCATCCAAACCAGCTATATATCTTTATATCTACATAGATCCTCGTGCTTTCGAACAGAGATACGCTTGGTGGCACTTGCCTGCTGTGGCCCATCGGAGGCTCTTGGTGGTCTGGGAGCTCTGGCTTTGGCCTGAAACTCGATCAGGTGCACCTGGGCAGGGTGAAGCTTCCAACTTGGCTGACCGCTGAGCAGCTGCAAAGCTGCGTTGAAAAAATCCCTGGTTGATCATTCTGTTCTGGGGTTAAACTACCCATAAAACCTTGGGTTTTCTTCTCCACCAGATGGAATCCGTTGTTCTTCAACCGTATTTCACGGTATTTCACAGCCGTTGCAGGCCCCTGGCGTGAAGAGCCCTGGATGACGGATGATGAGAAGGTGGTGCTGTCGGTGTTCTTGAGTCTGGAAGCCATCACTCTACTGGCCTGGATTTGGATCTACAAAGTTTATCCTTTCCTGGCAACTTGGCGAAGTGGACGATGAATTCTTGGACACTCACAATATGAATATATGACGTATAATATATATATATATAATATATATATAATATATATATAGATATGGTACAATATATATATATATATATGCATTACATATACATGTACATAAAAAAAGAAATATATAGATAGATAGATACATGTACATATACATACGATCCCATAGGATGGCAGACCACTCGAAGCGATTCTCCCGGGCGGAGTGTTTTTGCAGACACCTACTGTCAGTGTCTTTTCTGACAGCAGGTTCCTTTTAGTGCTTTGCCCTTCACCCAGGTGAAATATTGCCACCAGAAGTTTGCTCTCCGATGCTTCTGGCGAATACGTCCAGCAGACACTGGGTGTCTTGGAGCAGTGTATCGAGCTATGGGTAACCACATTCCCAAAGAAATACAGGGAGTCAAGGAGCTACAAGCAGAATTTCCTAAGCATATGTCCCATTATATCACCATGATATCCCCATTGTCTCCCAATTATATCACCATTCTATCACCATTAAGTTTCTAATTTCACATCACCATTTGTTACCAATTACAGTACATCCGCGTATTCCGAGTACTTTCCGCCGCTGTGTGAGTTGTGTCAAGCCCAGCGATGGTGCCAGGGAGGGCTACAGTTACTTGCCGTATGGCTGGACCAGTCTGTCCCGCCGCGAGTTCAGATATAGAGGGGACAAGGACCCGGAGATGCGGATGGCCTTCCGGCACCAAATGTCAGATGAGAATGGAACATCCCCATGGTGCAAATAAGGTGAATACATGCCAGTTTGGCCAAATCCCCATGGTAGTTGATTCAATATCATTTATCATTGATTTCAGTCACCCGCACAAAAACCATGAAAACCATGTTGGTTTAAATCATTGAATCCGGATGTTTCCACACTTTCATACATTTTCGACGTCTCAAGGGTGTTTCATCGCTTACCTCAGGACGAGAATGGACGACCCCATGGCTTCGGTGAGTGGCAAGACAACTCGTATCATGGTGAGGTGCGCCACGGTGAGGTTATGGTTGGATTATATACCATGGCATATTCCAACAATCCATGGTATAATCATCAATAAGTGATAGTTGGTACTTATCATTCACCATAATCCCCACATAATGATTCCCAACAAATGTGACACGGGTCAAAATTGATGGATTTGAGCATCAAACATGGTGATTTAAAGTATATTTACCGGGACATAATGGCATATATATATAGATAGATATGCATATAATATATAGATACATGTACATAACGAACTACAATAAAATGCTGGATGATAATGCTATGATATACCCAGTCCTTGGGGGTATGGTCCTTAAACCATTTCCACAAGGTTTTTTGTACCCATCCATTATTCTAGGATTTCCACACCGGGATGGATGAGCATAAACCAGTTTCACATATTTTGACCATGGCACATATGCTAAACTTCATGATGGTCTTCAATACCGCCCAAATGGTCAAATTGGGTTTTCAGCTGCCCCACGGCCCACAGCCGGGAGAGGTCTTGAATGGCACCTGGCAACATGGTCAGCCTGTGGTTCCCTTTGTGTCCAGGTGCCACGGCCACGCTGGCCCCGGTCAAAAACAACATCCGGGATTATTATTTTTTTACCCCTCAGAAGCGCATTCTGGCTTTCTGGTGTTTGGATCATGAGCCAATAGCCAGAAAAAAAATCATCGCTCTTCATCCCTGAGGTGTTTTGGCTCTGGTGCCATCTCGCGAGGACCTTTCGCGGGGTGGGACGGCTCCAGTGTCTCTTGTTTCTGCAGGGAGAGTGATGATTTCTGGGCTGGACCCAATCTTGCAGCATAATCATTTCCGCGAACAGCGATTCTGACCGCTGGAATAGTATGGTTCTTGCTCTCCTCCTTCCTTCCTCTCCTTCCTCTCCTTCTTGCTCCCCTCCTTGCTCTCCTCCTTCCTCTCCTTGCTCTCTCCTCTAGCTACCCTCCTTCCTTCTTCTCCTTGCTCTCCTTCTTGCTCTCCTCCTTGCTCTCCTACTTCCTCTCCTTGCTCTCCTTCTTGCTCTCCTTGCTCTCCTTGCTCTCCTTGCTCTCCTTCTTGCTCTCCTTCTTGCTCTCCTCCTTGCTCTCCTCCTTCCTCTCCTTGCTCTCCTTCTTGCTCCCCTCCTTGCTCTCCCTCTTACTCTCCTCCTTGCTCCCCTCCTTGCTCTGCTCTCCTTGCTCTCCTTCTTGCTGTCCTTCTTGCCTCCTTGCTCTCCTTCTTGCTCTCCTCCTTTCTCTCCTTGCTCTCCTCCTTGCTCTCCTCCTTCCTCTAATTGTTCTCCTCTTGCCCTCCTCCTTCCTCTCCTTCTTGCTCTCCTTCTTGCTCTCCTCCTTCCTCTCCTTGCTCTCCTCCTTGCTCTCCTTCTTGCTCTCCTCCTTCCTCTCCTTGCCTCCTGCTCTCCGTCTTGCTCCCCCCCTTGCTCTCCCTCTCACTCTCCTCCTTGCTCCCCTCCTTGCTCTCCTTCTTGCCTCCTTGCTTCCCTTCTCTCCTCCTTGCTCTCCTTGCTCTGTCCTCCTTGCTCTTTCCTCCTTGCTCCCCTCCTTGCTCCCCTTCTTCCTCTCCTTCTTGCTCTCCTCCTTGCTCTCCTCCTTCCTCTCCTTGCTCTCTCCTCTAGCTCCCCTCCTTGCTCCCCTCCTTGCTCTTCTCCTTCCTGCCTCTCCTTGCTCTCCTCCTTGCTCTCCTCCTTGCTCTCCTCCTTGCTCTCCTCCTTGCTCTCCTCCTTGCTCTCCTCCTTGCTCTCCTCCTTGCTCTCCTCCTTCCTCTCCTTCCTCTCCTTGCTCTCCTTCTTGCTCTCCTTCTTGCTCTCCTTCTTGCTCTCCTTCTTGCTCTCTTCCTTCCTCTCCTCGCTCTCCTTGCTCTCTCCTTGCTCTCTCCTTGCTCTCTCCTTGCTCTCTCCTTGGTCTCTCCTTGGTCTCTCCTTGCTCTCTCCTTGCTCTCTCTCTTCTTGCCTTGCTCTCTCCTCTCTCCTTGCTCTGCTCTCTCCTTGCTCTCCTCTCTTCTTGCTCTGCTCTCTCCTTGCTCTCCTCTCTCCTTGCTCTGCTCCCTCCTTGCTCTGCTCTCTCCTTGCTCTGCTCTCTCCTCGCTGTGTTGCTGCGTTCCAGTATTGCCTCACTATCACCGCATTCAGAGGCTCATGAGCCATCCATTTTTTGGGCTTTTCAAAGGTGCTTGTCATTGTTCTGCCTTTGCTCCCAGATGTCAGTGATGTGGCCAGGATTGAAGACCGGCTACGGGACAAAGCGCCTGGAAGGCCTGTCGGAGCTACATTGGACGCGCGAGCGAGTTGCTCATCAGCAGTTCGTTTTTCTGTCCCAAGAAGTTGGGTGAGGTCAAAGGTCATCGAGATAGGTGTTTTGGGATTTCTGTCAATCACAGCAAAGCGTCTTATGGGCTAATTATGGCGTCTATAGGTGAAACGGGTGTACCACTCCAAGAATGGGGGATGGTATCATGAAAACTTGCCCAACTCTGTGCTGCCCCAACCCTGCCACCGCCTGAGACAGAGACCTTCTTGTTCGGCACCTGTGGGGTGGAATGTTCAGCTTCAGGTCTGGGAGGGTCTGTTCAGCACATCAAGCCTGGGAATTTGCATGAACTTGCAACATACAGTATCGTGAATGGGAAAATCCATAGGGGACTTGCGAACTGGGGCGTTTCCAGCACTTCGCGGAAAATCTGAGGGACATACATTCAAAGAGAATCCCTATCAGCATACTTTTCTTAATCAAACCGCGGAGAAAGTAATCGATGTGTGAGATTCCTTGGCATTCTCAGGTCCAAAGACTTGAAAGAAGGATAGAAACAGCGAATCTCCCTGTGCTGTTTCTCCTTTTCAGTTTTGAGTACTTGGCCTACCTGCGAGCGAAGGCACATCACACTTGATACTGTAACACACCTTCTGACCGTATTCCTTCCCTTTTTAGTCGCAACAGACAAGATTAACTTATGAGGCATCCTCCCTTTGCCACTTTTTCACCTGGCAGATAGTTCTTGTCACACGCTGGTATGTAAAACTTGTGGAGATTCTAAGTGGGAATGGCTTTTCCAATTACAAGGCAACACCACCCATAAGATGATGCGATACCAGAGGCCTGACCAAGTCTGTAGGTTGCTTCGACAGGAGCCTTCCTGGCCCATTTGCCCCAGCTGTTTGAATACCACCAGAAGACCTTTCCCCATGCAGAGCAGATGGTGCTTGGGGCGGCTTTCAGTGTGGAAGGGTTGGTGGGATTGCCGTGACACAGGATCAGGATCAGGAGATTTGTTGAAGAAGTGATCAAGAAATATCAAGAAAAGGTGCGAAAGTCACTATGCTTTTGACAGAGGATTTTCCAAATTACCAAGAAACATGGAGGATAACGTGCTGTTTTAGAGCCCAAAAATATCAACATCAGTGCATGAAGGTCACGGGATCATTTGTTGAGGACTATCTCCACAGCTTGGTACGCTTGGGGCTCTGGGGATACTTTGGCACTGGAACTCGTGAGCTTTGGGAATTGCAATAGTGAAGCTGTGGCTAAGAGGGTTCCCAACATCGATGTGATGCGAAACCTGGTAGATGTCCTGCTTTGTTTGATCAATTAGGGGAAAACCCCGGCAACCCTCCGCACTTCCCACCCTCTCCCGTTCTCCCGTTAAGGGACATCATTGGCACTGGGGTTCGTCAGGTGCATGACCTTCAATCCACTGCAGGCGATGGAAGTTGGTTGGCACCATTTTGGATAGTTGGGTATTCTCAATGGCAATGATAGTTCCATCCTTCTTTTTCCCTGTGAAATAATGTGAAATATATGGATTATATCATCGTATAAATCATATCACATTACTAATTAATTGAAAATCATCGAAAGTTCTGAAACTTTTCCCGCCTCCACTAGGATCAGAGACAAGGGACGCTCGGGACGCCAACTCCACAGCCCGAATGTCCTTTCTGGCGACGCCTGCGGATTCGGTGTTGGTTTTCGTTCACGGATACAACTGTCCCATTGATCCTTGGCTCGGTGGGCGCAGGGATGAAACCCACAGCAGGAACGGACGACACAAGATGTTTGTGACATCCGGGATAGCAATTCTTTCGGAAATGACACATGAAGTTCATCAACCTTTGGAATGTAAAGAGGGACCTTGGATGGAATCGGAAGCATCCTCACTGATATGAAAACCTGGGCATTGCCTGAAGTCATGGTTCCATTTCTGCCCAGGACTGGGCTTGCATGCGCTTGGGCCAGCTGATGACTTTGGGTGACGCGTCAAAGTTGAAATCAGATTTCGAAGGATCGGAGGATTCGACCCCAGCGGATTGGTATATTTTTTGGTCCTGGGGGAAAATGGGAGTGGGGTTGGTTGGATTTTTTGAAGGCACAAATTTGAGCATGTATCACAAAACATTCTTGGACTATTCAATTTAACCTGGTATTTGCGATTTTGTTCAAGATTCCAAACAGGCAAGGATCGAACTGACAAGACGAGCTGTAAAGGCACCTCTACAATCTCTGAAATGTAATGAAGTGAGGTCTTCTTTCTTGGTACTACAGGCATCAAATACAGTGCTTGGGCTGTTTGGAGCCTGGTCTCCTGGTGTCCTTTTGTTTGCTAAGGCAACTTCGGCTCCAGCGTGTTGCCCTTGGTGTTCTCTTGGCCTACAGGCCTTGGAGGGATGGGAACATCTACAGGAAATTAGGATTTCTATGGATGTCTCCCATGTATATTCATATATATATATAATTATATATATATATAATTATATATATATATACACATGTATACATATACAAGTATATGTATATGTATATATATATAATATTTGCAATCCAAATCCATGAAAAATGTTTGTTCCTGGCAAGGTATCCTAAAAAACAAATCCAGTGAGTTGGACCATGCGAAGCGTAATGCTGAATTCATGTAGGATAGTGCAACTCAAACATTGTACATGGCTGCAATATGCTCAAGTCCTGCGGGGAAGATGACCTTGCATGTTGTGAATTGGGTTTGTCTAAAAATAGCTGTTGTAGTATCATTTCCAGATAGACAGAGCCATTTTGGCGCTAAATTCACCATTTTGAGGCACATCCATTTCGACGAAAACCCGGCCGCAGGACGCATTCCCTCCTTCTTCCAAGTGCGAAAGCAGCTCGTGGACTTCGCCCCCGACTTGGCGGAATTCCTTGCGTGCCTGCGACGGGCTGGAGTGAAGGCGAGCAAATAGATGAGGGGCCGCAGCAAGAATTGATCGCGACCAAGACACCGTGAAATGGAGGTTTCCATGAATGGGGGTATGGATGGTTTGTAATGGACAATCTTATTCAAATGGATGATTTGGGGGTAGCCCCATTTTAGGAAACCTCCATATGTTTATTGGGTTTGCCTATGTTGCAACAGAATACAAATCCTCATAACAGGGCAACAATCACCACGCCACTTCATGTTGGAAAACAGGCCATATCCTCCACATCCCAGATCCAATCCCTTCGGACTTGCATTAGCATCTTGACAATTTTGGAGTCATTAAACATGACTAATGTTAGTAACATTGCAAGCAATGATCAACCACAGATATTTTAAGATCATTTTTGATGGTTTTACGCCCCCCACAAGAAAAGGGGAAAAGTTGGGATGGTAAACACTTTTGTTTTCCTCACATTATTCAAAAATCACCAGGGGGGTCCCACAAATTTTGTGCCCCCAGATTGAAATAGAAAAACGGTACAACATTTTTGGGACCCCCCTAGTGATTTTTGAATTATGTAACTTGGCATTAAGATAGCCGGCCACTTTCAATGCAGGAAATGCATCTCATGGCCCATTCCATGGGCTGTGAACTGGTGACTGCTGCGCTGGAGCATTTGGAACGGCTGAACCAGGACGGCTGTTTTAGTTTTTTTTTTCCCTACTTTCAATTGGCCAAATCATCTCTAAACCTAGCTTTGATTGTGATTTTAGATGGTCAATGGAGTCTGCCTTGTGATTTTCCATGCTTTCTGTGCGCCTTCCGTTGGGCGGGAAGGGAAGTCTTCGCAGAATCAGGAGCTACAAGAGCGACTTGGGGTTTTGCTACCTAGGAAAACACTGGGATGGTTTGAGAGAAAGCCGCAAGAAGTATTATGGCGGTTTCTCGCAGATTTCCCTGAAACCGATCCAATGATGGAAAGGACCCTATCCACCGGAGTTGCTTTTGGAACGGTGAACCCAGCACCTTCCAATGATGTTTTAGACTTCCAGTGATTTGTATAGCCTGAAAGACTGGAGGAGGGTGGCAGTCAACCACTCGTCAAGACCATCTCTTTCTGCCGCACAGCTCAATGGGTGTCCGGCTGAGAGATGAATTTGGAAAGTTATCATATATAGGATTATCATCCCAACTGAAGCCCTGAAAAAGGATTTCAACTGGTACTACCAGGTTTTTGAGTTGAGCAGTGTGACTTGTAAGAAAGATGCATGTCATGCAAAAAAGATTGTCCAGATTGAAGATGTGTGAATCGGCTTCTATAGTGACGCTGTTGGGGCATCAGTGTTGGCATTGGCAGGAAGTTGATGGGAGTTGCGGAGCTGTCATATTTCAGTGGCTTTGTTCATCATATCAAGCACCAAAACGAGTGGTTTATAATGTGGTAGACCCGGTAGTAACCCTCCAGTTTTGGATGGTTTCTGCACCCCTGTTTCTGAGAGATTTATTGAACCGACGCATTTTGTGGGTCCTTTGGTGTTTGAAATATGAGCCATTTCTCATCTGGGCTGGCTTAGGCAATGCCTCTTGTCCTCTTTCGGACTTTGAGCAACCCATGTTGAGCCGCATCATGGGCATCTGTGAGCGCTTGACCTTGTACGTGGATCGACCCTTGCGCTGCACGGATGGGGGGGTCCTTGGAAAAGCCGATCAAACCGCCAAACTTGTGACTTATCCTGTTTCTCTGATAATGATGAACTGATTTTGTTGTAATTTTTGGTCCTACAAAGTTGGATGTGGTTCGAGATCATTTCCCATCTCTTCTTGAACTGGCCGGAGAAAAATCTGCATCGACACTGCTTGGTTCTTGGATTCCTCACCCTTGGTCTTTCTCAAGCGCGAGGTGACGACTTCGCCCTATGGGCTTTGGAGTTGCTAGCGCGAACGAAAGTGCTGGGTTGCCATACAGAGCCGTTTCCACTGGTCAGCCCATGCCCAGGTGGCGACGTCGTTGCTTGACGGCATTCATGGCGGTGCCTCTCATGGACCGGGGCTTTTGATATGCAGATGGAAAGGGATGTTTTGAAATATGGCTCATGAGATCACAATGATTCCCAGTTTTTTCCAACATCGAGAATGAGTTACGATATATATATATATAATATATCTATATATATATATATAATATATCTATATATATATATATACATACACATATTTCAATTTTACATTTTATTTACAACATCTCACGATTTCCGTCACTAGCCATGTCCAGGATGGGCTCTCCGCTCAGGAGTTACCATCCTGGCGTCCCTCCCAGGAGGACCCGGAGGACCCGGCAACGTCGCTGGCGGCGCTGCGGCCGCGCATTGATGTGGTGGACTGTAGCTCCATGGATGCGAACGTCAATGGCATGCGCCATGGTGCCTTGGGAAAATGCGCCGGGAAAATGGGTATAGCATTAAAAAAAACATCGAAAAATCCCATAGAAACCTTAGGTATAGATAGGTATAGCGTATTTATCATGATCATTATTCAACAATCCAATTCTACCTCCAATATTGGATACCAAGGATCAGTTTGTAATGCTATTATCATTGGGTATAGCATTTATATACCTAGAAAAATCCCATAGAAACCATCCATTGCCTAGAAAATCCATTCATGTGGGTGAAACAATGTCATAAACCACCCATGACTGGGAAAGGTTTATACTATACCACCTATATATTTATGGTGATGACTGGGGGATGGTTTATGATTGTTTTACCCACATTATGGGAAAATGAAAGACCTGATCCAAAAATTTTCAGACCCATAGATTTGAGTTTATGTATCTGATGTTTGGTATTCACCATCCAATTATTGGGGTACAAAATGACTTGACCCATATCCACCTCAGGACAAGTTGGACAGGTTTTGCACTGCTTCTGCAGTGAATTACCAGACTTTCTTGTTAAGATAGAGTTTGCTTTGGAAAGCCAGTCCTGTAAAATTGATTAAAATTGGGCATTTTGCCGACAACCAGCCATGGCTGAGGTTACTTTGATCTGAATACAAACTTGGTGGCAGACTTAAAGGTGCGGCCATGGGATGGGCCTGAATCTTTATCAGAGATGGCCTGTCATGCTCCAATGACAACAGCAAAGCTGGAACTGAATCTATAATATATGCTTCTCACTTTGATCTCAAGTGCTATGGTTGCAACAAGTCCTATTGCATGAACTGAAACTGTGGTACCTTTGAAGCACCATGTAGCCGGTTGGTAGCCGGTTGGTAGCCGCTGAAGACGATCCCCTCTGCCAGGAATTGATTGTGGATCAGAAACGAGCAGCTCAGAGGAGCCGACGCTTGGAGAAAGATATGGGAGGCGACCCAGCCCAGCTGTGGCTGGGCGGAATTCTGGAAGCTGAAATAGCAAGCAGTTTCCAAGTGGGATACTTCAAAAATGGAACCAGAGGCCAGTGAATGAAGGAACGAGGAATGGTTCGTTGGCAATGAATTTGTTCAAGCAGCGCATGAATTGTGACCCATCTCTGGACATATTCCAAGATCAAGTGAAGCATGATATCTGCGTCTTTGTAGTTGACCAAATCTGATGATGATGACGACGACGATGATGACATGAAATACTTTAGGCCTGGGACTGGGAAGCCCAGGCTTGCTCCGCATCTATTCTGATCCAAATTACAACGTGCCTCGGTAAAGGCATTGGGGGCCTCAACTTCAGGACTTCGAGCGCAAGACGATTCGTGGGGTGGTAAGGAATCACAACCCCAAAAACCTCATACCTTGGTCAACGTCCATGACCACAACCTGAGATGCTCAAGGCCGTACCACAATCTGGTTGAACAAAACGTGTGGGGATTATCCTACACGGTCAAGCTTGGCCCCTCCTCCTCCTCCTCATCCTCATCCTCATCCTCATCCTCATCCTCATCCTCATCATCATCATCATCATCATCATCATCATCAGAATCAGAATCAGAATCAGAATCTGCATCTTCATCTTAATCTTAATCTTCATCAACATCATCATTTTATCATTATCATTTCATTGTTGTCATCATATTTCATTATCATCATCCCAAATTATATGGCTTTGTCTGAAAATTAGGTCCCCGAATCCCATGGTTTTGTCTGTAAATTTCCGACAATTAGATATTATTGCATGACCATATTGGAGGGTACACACCATTTTCCGACAACGCCATATTGATGCAGGTTATGATAATTATGAATCCATCAACTGCCATAGTGACAGGTGTTTTCCTTCCTGGCTCCGCCGGTCTTCGTGACGTACTGAGACCGGCCAGCGAAAAAGCTTGGAGGTTTCACCATCGACATATGGACCATTCAAAATAGGCTGGTTGATTGGATTTGGAATAGGAAGTTATACTACCAAAGTTATTGGGGATTGTAATAACCCAGATTCTAGGCGACGAACAGCTGGTTGGTTTCAAGTTCTTGGTACCTTTCCATATATATGTATATATATAGTTATTGTGCCCAACACACCAATATGTTTGGCATACTTGGCTTAACCACCGCCCAGTTCCGATGTACTACTACCAATATGCTGTAGATCCATCTCACAGCTGCGCTGGCTGTGAGCAGTGGCACGGAATGAGCTCCAAGGCACGAAGTGATAAAGCATGACCGTGAATCCATGGTACCCTTGGTGCACCAAAATAGCTGGCAAATGGATCTTCATCCCCGTATCGGGTCTCAGGTTTTTACCCATACCGCATTGGTTCATGAGTTGGGTATGTCCAGTTTCACTGGAGATGCTAAAGAAGTCCTACCATGGTCTATTTCAGAACTATCTAGTTGGACCCCTACAGCATTTTTGGTCACGGGTGTCATGGCTTAGCTGGGATATGGGACGACATGGGGTCGATGAATGCTACAGGTGCCACGTGTAGCTGCAGAAGCTGAGTGGCTGTTTGTTTGCCCAAAAAGGTGTGCAGGAGATCCTGTGAATGCCGCAAAGCAATGGAGAAACCAATGGACTGAGCAAATTTGATCATAATAATAAACATATCGAAAAATGGTATTGCACTAGCCACTAGCCGATGTTTGAGTGATACACCCATGTTGACATGTTGATGGGTTACATCCCAGTTGTTTTCGGTTCAGATTTCATTTTGTTTGGGTATTAAGTCAACGAGTACGGAGAAAATATGATGGCTTGCTGCTGGAAGTACCCAATCTATTCCCTGTTTTTGTGTCGGCCCCCTCCAGAAAATACCCTGGAAATGGAACATCAACAAATGAGAGGTATGTATATAGATCATCTAGAATTCAGTGGGTCTCCTTTGACAGGTTCTGACAGCTTCTATATAGATTATATGGTGAGGGTACTGAAGGGTAAGCAAAACACCATCCCCCGACTTCAACGGCCATCTAGGGCTATTTGCAGCTAATTCGACTACGATTTGAGGAAACATGTATTCTTGGGTTTACCTTCTTATTGATGGTTCAATCACGTTCAATCCAAATCCATTGATGGTTCCCCTTCGATGGTTCAATCCACATTTGGCTAAATCCTCATCCTCAGGCGTCGCGGCCCCTTGGCGAAATGGGACAGGGGACCGCTGAGTTTGAAGCGGACGAAGGGTGGCTGTTTTTAAAGGGGACATGAAGATCATTCAGCGATTAGTTCAGCGATGTTCATAGGGAACACGAGCATCAACGCTGTATTTTTAGGGTACCATATTTTTTGAGACGCACCCAAACACAGCAAACTAGTCACTAGTCCATACATACTATACAATCGTGTTTGGAAGGGAGCACCAGCCTGTCAAAGAGTTGAGTCAAAAAGGTTCCCGGCAGATTTACTAGCCAGGAATCTTCAAATCTTGATGCTCCAGAGTCGTGAGTTCAGAAGTCATGAAAGGGGGAGGGGTATTTGGACAGCCCTTTCTCCTGACAGCTTCTTTGATATTTCAGGTGGTACGCCGTTTTCATAAGTTGGTCTATAAACGCCATTAACTGATACGGTAGCTATACCAGGGTGAAATGGGCACCACCTTCGCCTTTCTTGGTGCTGTCTGGAATAGACCAGATACATCAGCAACTGGATGGCAGCCCTTTCGCATTTGGGATTAACTTGAGCAATGCCAGTTCAGGGGGGTGTGGTTGATGATTCCTGTAGGACTCAGGTTTGAAGTGGGATTGTTATGTATCTAGTCCAGTATGAGAACTCAGACCATGAACAATCCCGTCAGAAAGAGAGACGCAATAAGATAGAAAAGTTGTTTGAGGATGTTATGACCCCGAAACATATAGGGAAACATTTTCCCAGAATCCCGGAGACATGTAAGTGAAGTTTGACCCAGATTTTGGGGAGAAATGTGGGGAGAAATGTTGGGAGAAATGTTGGGAGACATGTTGGGAGAAATGTTGGGAGAAATGTTGGGAGAAAATCCACACAACACTTTTCTATCTTTAGTATCATCTGATATCATCTGCATATATTTGGATCGTTTTAATGCCTTAAAATTTCCATAAATGTTCTATTTTTGATATCAACTGTGAAGTTGCAGGGAACGGAGCACTTCAGATATCTTATTCACGTCGCTTCGCGACGGCAACCGCCCGCACCGCATCGTAACTGCCAATGATGTCGGCCATTGAAACCAAAAACATCCGAAAGTACTGATTGTCGGAAAAAAAAACGCGAAGAATTTGATAGCCATGTATAGCGGACCAACGCAGTTCAAAAAATAACGAAAAACATGAAAAAACGGCGAAATTGCTGTTATTTACAGTGTTTTTGCGCGGTGAGAAGCAGAAACCACTGCAAATACCATGGTTTTTGAGGGTCAGGTGGCCAAAAACACTGTAATTTACAGTGTTTTTTTAACCAACGTCAAAAAACACTGGTATTTACGATGTTTTCATTCACACCGTAACATAAAACAGCGTAATTTACGAGGTTTTTGGAAGTTTTGAAGCTAGCCGTCAAGCATGCAGAAAACAGAAAAACACTGTAAAAACCAGTGTTTCTGCTATCACAAAACGACGAAAATCAGTCCGAAAACGGGTCCAAAAACTCAAAAATCCGCCTCCGGGCCAGGCCACCTGCGGAACCGCAAAAAAAGATGTTGCAAACCAAAAAATTGAGGTCAAAAAGTTGAAAAACACAGGGTTTTTTCACTTTTCGCTTGCCGATTTTGGACGGGCGCGTTCACGAACAGGTGTCTTCCGTACTGTTTTTTACAGTGTTTTTTGAAGGCGAGCGTCACGACCTATCAAAAACAGGAGGTTTTGGCCGAAAAATGCCCCCCCCCCCAGGTAAACCTGTAACCTTTTACGAGTGCCATCCGGACGATCACGCCCCAGCACCTTCGGTGCGGGCGGATTTTCTTATGAGCATTGAGGATTTGCTGTGAATAGTGATAGGATACAAAAGATAGAACAGTTTTCAAACTTCGACAATTTCCTTATCCTCTTCGGTCGGGAAAAATCACTCTTCTATCTTGTTGGGGGTCACTATATAAATCAAGAATCTCAACAACCATTAATCATCAATATCTTAATATATTGGGAGATGGTCATCAATCCATTTTCAACGGGATTTTATATACCCATTAAACCCAAGATTCCCATTATGGGATGGATGACCATAAACCACATACAATCTGTTGACCCAATGATTAAGTAAGGGATGAAAGCAAGTATTTGGGACCATGCAGTGGAGGTGCTTAACATGATAGGGGGATGGGATTAATTGAGCCACCAATCATTAATAAACCAACTATTGACCGTTATTAAGCACTATTATAATTATCATTAATATCATTTTTACCATTATTATCATTTTTATCATTTTTATCATTTATATTGATTTATATTGATTTATATTGATTTATATTCATTATCAATTATCATTGTTATCATCAATCACTCCCAACAATCACTCCCAACCAATGACGAGCATTTGCTGCCATGTCTCCAGGCTCGAAACGAGCGCCGGTCTGCTACTCAACGACAGCATGTCGACCTCATGGCAAATGCTGTATGTGCATGTGTATGTACATGTGTATTATGTATATGCACATAAAAATGTATATGTACAGATATATATATTTATACATGTATATACACATTAAATTACTGTATTATATGTATGTATATACATCCATGTCTATAGTCTATACATACATATATGTTGGAAATAAGCCCAGGCATGACCTATTTGAGTGTGAATGATAAGTTGCCCGAGCCTTGAGTCGTTTCCATAAATGGGGCATGGCCAACATGGATTTTTTTGATGGACAATCCCAAAGAAAACATGAGTGATTTAGGGGTACCCCCATTTTAGGAACCCCCTATTTAGATACAGAGAGATCATGGCCGGATCAGAATAGCCCATCTGAATATGCAGGTGTTGCTCGGAAATCAACCTACCTTTCTTGTTTTGGCCCCGCCCAAAGTGGCGAGAATCCAGGCACATGGAAGTGCCGTCGTCATGCAGGCGGGCTTTTTTTGGCACTTTGACTTGTCATCCCATAGTGATAAATTGGTTTATAAGCTGCATTAACCGTAGGATGTATCCACCATAGTCCCTAGTGAAATGTTACTTATACACCAACTTAGCTAACGATTTGGGAAGCACCTCACATGTAGGTAAGGTCACTATTGGCATGGCATTGCACCCTAAAAATGAACAAACTGTGTGGTTTTCCATGTGCGACTTCGATGATTTCTCAGGCCAAAGCAGAGGTTTGGAGCGGGGAACTCAGCCTACATGAGTGTGCCCAGGTAGCTACCCTTGCCACGGTTGAATCGGAGATCCTGTTGCAACAAAATGGTGGTTTGATAAGGATGGGTCACCCTAAAAATAAGGAATTCAGAAACAGCAAAAACTGGAATTTTAACAGCACAGCTTGGGGATTTGAGGGAGATACCCTTTGGTAATTAATCAAACATGGCCATGGAAGATCCTAGGCAATTTATCTAGACATTCGGGTATTTTCTGGTATTTTCCATTGCTACGTTGGATGGAAGGTAATTTTACTGGCAAAGGAGTCGCCTTTGGCATACCAGCCAACCGAGACGGAGATCCTTTTTCATTGTCATCAAATAAATGGCGCCAGCATCGCAAGTGGCCTGGAAACTATTTGGCCTTTGCTTCTATTAAAGATGGCAAAAGGTATATCCAGTTAGACTGCAAAAATATACGGCACTGTGGAAACATGACTGTGATGATCCTGTACCAATTATTCATGGAGTCACAAATACCCATGACTTGCGGACAGATCTACCAGTTACATCGTCTTTCTAAATTCGCAGAAATAACTGGCGAGATCTATTTCTCATTGCCTCGAGCCGTCCCTCCTGCCAGATCAAGACAAGGGCCCAGCTGCCTTGTTTCAGTTGTTGACCCAAAGAGTGCCGCAACGAGGTCATTTTGAACTTTAAGCTGGATTCAATTGGATTCTTCGATCCAAACCTAGATTGAAAACCACAAGCTGGGCACTCCAGACGGTCAAACTCATATGGGGTCCAGCCATGCCATGGTTCCTCATGGTTCATCACGGTTCATCACGGTTCATGACGGTTCATCATGGTTCATCATAGTTCGCGGTGGGGTCAAAACTTTAACGCAACCCTAAATTAATAACCCTCTAGGTTTTTCATTGGGGGGGTACCCATATAAGCATCATATTAGCACTGTTTGGAGGATACCTGAAAAAAATAATAAAGCGTGGTATTCTTAAACGCCGGGTGGACAGATGGTCTCAGCCATGGCGCCAGGGATTCCCTTCAACTACGACACAAAGTCCTTGAAGTTGACGCCACCAAAGCTGGTGGCCACAGGAATGCTACCCCATTTTGGGGATCGCTGCCTAGTGGGAACCGGGAAGAAGACGATTTAGCAACAACACATGCACACACACACACATATTTATCGGTTTAGTTTAGATATGTTTTTGTTTTGTTTTGTTTTGTTCGTTCGTTCGTTCATTCGTTCGTTTGTTTTATTGATTTTTGCGCCTTTTTGTGTATTTATCTATTTATCTATCAATCTTACATATCTCATCAAAATCTATCTCATCGGTAGATATCTATGTAATCATATGTGTGTTATCCATTCCAGTCTTTCGCACAGTCTTTCGCATCCCAGGCGCCCCAAAAGAGCCATGGAGAGGAGGACCGAATGACACAGTTGATGGAACCACGTGATTTTGGAGGCCAAATCACAGCAATTTTTCTATATAGTAGCTGTAGATATTGCCATCTCAGCCCAGAAAGGGATTACTACATGTGCCACATGTGCAGGTGCAGTTGCAAGGAATTTGTTAGGAATTGAGGATTTAAGTTCAAATTCTTCGGTGTCTCTGCAATGCAGTTGTGAGCCACCTGTTGGTCATTTTTCTGCAGACGCCGTCTTGTGACTGTTTTGCCAAGTTTCCAAAATCACTAGCGCGACTGTTGTATCATCACAGGTTCTTTCGCTGATTTGCACTTCCGCTTTTCAGCATTTGGGCAGGGCTCATTTCGCATCCCAAATTTCTGCACGGCCTCGGCAACATAGAGGGATCCGGAGGGATGTGATTTTCGCCATCCACTATTGGCACATGTTTACCTTGGACCATGTTTATGGTATCCACACTATTGGATGCATTCCCATTGTTCCTTGTTAATTACCACACATCCAAGACTATGTGGTTAATTACCCATAGTACTGTTATCTTATTATGCAGTATCCCGTATCTTTGTTGGTGAATACTTACCCTCTGGTAAACTACCATAACTATGGAACATCTCCAGTTTTTGTAGACAAATCAATTATAAATAGGTCATTTTTAATAGCAAACTGTTAAATTTCCAGAGGGTATATCCGCTTCGGCTTCGCACCAGGAAGTCGATGTGGCTGAAGTATTCCTTGGACAACATGCACAAGCGTCGCAGGAATTGCCTGAGCCTTGGCCCACGAGCCCACGAGCCCACGGGCGGCGATGAGCATCATTGAGCCTTTGATATTTTTTTCCTATGGGGACAGCTCGTTTTTGCCTCAGATCTAAGTAGGAATTTCCAGTTGACGTATGCCGAGCTTCCATGAAGTGATTTACTCCGTGGTTATTGAACGTAGCCATGGAATATGGCCATATTCAAGAGGTAAATCATCGACAAATGGGCAATTCTTTATGGCAAACTGTTAAGTTACCAGAGGGTATGTTCGGTGCAGCCCCTTGTGAAGTACAACAAATTTCTGCGAGGCTACAGACTGGCGCGGCAAGCAGTGATGCAGGCCTTGAAAAGGAAGTGCGCGGGGTATACACCATGCATCATGGTGTGGAGGATATCCCAAAAAGATCAAAGCAGCCATGAAAAAATGGGGACACATGATGATAGACCACAGAATCCTTGGGTTTAAAATTTTGGGATGGCGCACAGGAAGGGGAACTCATGGTTGGATCCTCTCATTTCGTTCCTGGAAGTCTGTAGATGCTCTACCTGTAATGCAGAGTTGCAGTGGCAATTCTTCTGATAGAGCAGCTAGTATCGTGATTTTTCCGCTTCAGGGTGGTATTTGAGTGCTAGTCTTCCGCTGTGATCAACAATTAAAAGGGTTGGACCTTCCTGGCTACAACTCAAATCTAGCCAAGAAACTGGCAAGCTTCGGAAGCCAAAGATCTGGGATGATTGGGACAGGATTCGGCTCCTGGACTTGGCAATTGGATCCACGACTTATAGAGGCCTCAGTTGATTCACATGTGAGGGGTACAGTTTGTTGGAGAAGACCACCAGCTTCAAACTGGTCCCAGGTACCGGTCCCGGCGATTGTTCAAGCGCGAGCGGCGTCAGCTTTGGATTCAGCGCGTCCGTGGGCCGAAAATGGGCGGGGGTTCACCATTAAACCATGGGGATTTAAGCGTTGAGCATGGGGATTTCAACATGAATTTGGGGGGTTCAATTTTACCAATGGATCCAATGGTAGAATTTCATGAAACATCTGCCATTGGTGACCGACTTTGCAAGCTCTCAGTTTCCTCCGAGGTGAGCAACAACTCCAAGCTGCATGGCATTCCGTGCGCTTCATCGATGGGGATATGGAGCAATTGCTTCAAATATATAGCAGCTTGGGGGAAGATCCATAAACAACCGGTTCAACAGCTATGTTGATGTGGACACCAGGGGTACAGGCTTATGAAGTTATGAGGGAATCAGGGTTATAGTTATAGCTCAAGGATTTTGCAGAAATGGAGGGGAGCTGAAACGCACTGCTCAACATGATGCGCGCCAATTTCATGATGCATACATGTTCTTTCGTTCGAATAGTGATCAATGGATGTGAATGGTTCTGTTTTGGACCTAGCTGCAACAAGGCACCATCACTGCTGGCAACTGGTTTCAAATGTTTCTGCTTTGATCATCTTTGAATATATCTTTGACCCTGGTTTTGTATTTGTTTACCTCACCCAGGAACTGGCGGATCCTTGTGGCTCAAATCCGTCATCAGATATTCCTCTCTAACTTGATCCCTGCAGGTACAATCAGTTCATCTGCAAGCTGAAGGTGACGACTTCACGTCACATACTGAACAGGTCTTGAGTAGACTCATAGCACAGACATAAGTTTGACCAAGAATCTCCTACTCCGACCCACCCTATTTATCATTGGTTTTCCTCCAATGGCCATCTTTTTCGGCGAATAAATCCCCAATTTCCCGGCCCAATTTATGGTCACTTGATGTCACTTGTGCGTGTCCGTTACGTCTGTTGCCGGATGCCAGGAGGCAAACATCAACATCAACCGCAAGATCCTGTCGCAGCTGGGCATCTACGACCGGGCAGTTTTCACCAACGTGGTGCAGGTACGGCGGGGGCTAAAAGGAGAGCATGGGGACGGTGGTAGGAGTCAAAATAGTTGAGCCCCTGTCGGTATGATACTCATGCCATTCAAATTGGGGAATCTTGTATGAAGTACTGTATGAAGGAATGGATTTGAAATTCGTCGACCCTGTAAGGCCCATGGTTGGAAAAACCATCACCATGGCGGATGTGTTTCAATGTCGCAGTATTTGGCTCGGCCACTGCCTAGCAGTGTTGTCCTATGCCCAACCAGAACTCATCGCTGTTCTAAAGCGAGATGGCCTCAATTCATCTAGGCTATGTGCCAGTCACCAAGAACCTTGGCATGGCTGTCGTGCTGCCAGGATTTGCTGGTAAATTGCAGCACAAATGACTTCCCTGGACTTGGTGGGGCCCAGTGGGTGACCGGCAAGCGGCACTGTTTGTGCTCATGCCACCCAATATCTCACCAGTAACTAGGGTTCCAATCCACTTGCAAGATAATGCAGGAATCGGAAAGAGTAAAGAGGGACCATTAATTGCAATGGTCACCAGGAGAAGTTCGTAAGTCCGTAGCCAAGGCCACCAGCCCTGCTCTTCTCTGATGACTGCGTGGCCGCAGATGGGATGTGTGTGGACATTGGTGATCTTAGTGATGAAGCGAGGTCCCCCCCTTGTGACGCTGGATCTCCCTGCATGACTCGCTTGGTGCAACGAACGCTGTGTGACACCATTTTTGCTTGGAGCACATCTTTCTTTTTGGGGGGGAATGGAGCTTTGAGAGAGCTCAAATGCCCCAACTTGTTGCTTGAAAACATGCGTTTAGGTTATTGGATTTTCGGCAAATTGATTCACTAAGGCGAATGTGATTTTAACTCCGGTAGGGGTCTGAGTTGATGTTAGTGTGTGTCTTTGAATGGTGCGGCACACTCTATCCAGCATCCATCAGAACAAACACGATCATGGGCATTGAATCTGCTGTCAGCAGGTCGTTTCATAGGGAAGGTTCAGTGGCCTGGTCATAGAGTCTTGGGTTGTGCTTCAGACCCAGAATGGGCCAATGGAGCTGAAGGCAAAATCTACACCAAAACCATGTAAAACCATGTAAACCATAATCCCCATGGTTTTCCCATGTTTTCCTGTAATTAGTCCGTTGAAACAACGGCCTTGCTAGGTGAAGGCTTGGACTGTCCGCATTTGCCGCGCTCTCGGAGCAAGGCGCGTAGGCAACAGAGAGAGAGGCAGCAACAGGCGGGGGCGAATGGGGGAGGGGGGGGCAAAACCGTGGGAAACACCAGGAAAATGATATACACATGTATACATATGGGAGTTTCCCTATTTTTTTTTCGAATATCTATGTATGTTACTGTATGTCTATGTTACTTTACTGGACAGTGACATCATTTGCACCCCAAAATTGGATGTTCTTTTCAGAATAGAGAAGGACATCAACCACAAATGTGGATCTTAAAGATACAAAGCATCTTGAAGCATGCCCACATGAAAACTCTCTATGAAGAGATGATTTATTAGTCATGGCAGATCATTTCGGTTTCTTCGAACTGGTGGTGCTTTTGCAGAGAGCATCTAACCTGCAAGAAGTTTGAACCAAAACTAATCCAAGCTATTTGCCCACTTGGTGCATCTGTTCTCAGAAGAAGTGATTTGTCTAGCAATGCAAGTGACTCTGTAGTTGCAGTCAAAATGACACTTATCCGGGTCCCAGTCACAGGTGGACTTGTGCATGAGAATCATGAGATAAGTTCCGACTGGGTCTAGTCTCGCATCCAATGTGAACGACTTGAGGGATGATTCTCTTAGTACTGAGACCATCAGCGATGTATCAGTTCCCTGCTTCAACGCTTGATGGGAGCGGGTGCGCTACAATTTTGGAGGTTTCCTAAGTCATGTGGATACCCCTAAATCATCAATTTTAAGAGGATTTTCCCTTATAAACCATCCAGCTATTGGGGTACCCCCATTTATGCATTGTTCAGCAGGTGGCTTTGTCCAAGTTCCTGGAGCGTTTCAAGTTCAGCAACATCAACGGATGCTTGGCGTACCGAAAAAGACAAGACGGGTTCATGACTGGTCATTCAAATGGTATAGAAATGGTAGCCATCCGGAGTTCGTAAATTGTGGCTTGATATTTGCGACCGAACCAGTTTCATCAAAGTATATAATTTGCCACCTCTCCCACCGCTGTAAATATTAGCAAGCCAGTCTTCCAGGGAGCAAAACCATCGCGTTTTCATCCTTTAGGCCACTGCGGCAAATGCCAATCGAGGAACAATCTTCGTGAAGGATGAAGAGTTTGCTCCAATCCATGCGGCTTGGAAATGTGGGTCAAACTCATTACCACACACTTGGTGGTTTTCGTGTATGAAATTTGTGGCTGCCATGTATGATCTAAAGCCCAACAAATTCCCCAAAAGGAAGCGTGATTGCTGGATGGAGATGGAAGTCCGGCATGTTTCGGTATCCCGTAGGGGCGGCAGATTATCCTCTAGATGCCAAACATCACTTAGACAAAAAGCTCCTGTATTTTACTGAAAGAATGTTCCGCTGGCCGACCAGGTTGCTTCAAAGCTGGCAAGTCATCGCATGGTGCGGCTGCTCCTATCGTTCCAAGCAGATCCCGCCAAGAAAACCTCTCAGGGCAGAACTGCGCTGGACCTTGCGGAGACGGCAGAAAACGACAGTGCCAAACGTCAGGTAGTGGACACCCTTTTGAATTGGGAGAAAACCATCAACATGCGCGAGTTTCGGAGCATATGTTCCAGTAAAGTCAGTAAAGTATGTGGGCAAATGCCAAGGCTGCCAAGGGCAGTACCTGCATACAGAATCTGCCTGTAGTTGCGTCATGCCAAAACGCTGGCCCTCTACTCTCAAGACAACTCAGGCCCCAAAGGTTGGTTTCTGGCTGCTATTCTGTTCCATTTAGTTCCATTTAGGTGCTTAGTTCCGTTTAGTGTCGTTTCTGATGTCGCGACATGGTTATATACAATCATTTTGACTAAGGAAACAAAAGCCAGGAGGGTGGCTGGGTTGTGGCTGGTGTAGCATTTTTAAGAAGGATATCCGCGTCTCTACTGAGCAAGGAAGACCAATCTTTTCCGTACCCACAAAATCCACAAGTTGCGATCCAAGAGATCACCATTGTGTTGATCTAATAACAGATTCCAACAGTGACATTTGGTTGATGTGCATTTTGTGGGCTCTTTTTTTTTCTTGTATCTTCACGAGTTTCAGGCCATGTCCCATGCGATTTTTTTCCCGGGCTGAGCTACTTAGCCTTTCGAAACCGGGACTCGACTCCTGAGAACTCGCACAGTTTCTCGAATCTGGACTGCGGCAGATCCGCACCACTACTGGGCTCCGTTTTTGCTCAGTTTTCACTTGACAGTCGTGCTTTCGAAAAATCCACTACTTCAGCATTTTCCGGAAATGCTGAAATGCTCACCAACACATGGGAATTAGGTTCATGTGTGCGGTATGCCATAAATGGATATAAATGGCCAGGACAACGAGCCAGATCAGTTACTTCTCGGTGTCAAGTGAGTTCTTGGAGGCCCACAGCCGTAGCTGTTGTTTGACGCTCTGTAGGGCTGATTTATAGATGGGCTGATTCTTTGCATTTCTAGATTGTGTTATGACTATGGCTCGAACATGGGCTACCAATAGATTTCATGATTTTTGGTACTAAACCACGAGGTTCTGGATAATATCCTACTTGTAGTAAAACCGTTGGTTTAAACCCATCGATGCGAAAGCCTGCGATGTTTATAGTTCCCCAAACAGATCATTGAGTCGGATGCCTTCCTTTGGCATCACTGGTTCTGAGCCATAGCCTTGTCGGGCCGTTTGCTGTGCTCTCTCCAGTTGGTTGAGATCCTCAAAAGTGGGTCTGAACCAGCACAGTCCACAGCTCTCTGGGTGCAGAGTTTTGCTTGAGCAGAAAATGCCACAGGAAATGGGTCTGGGTCATGATTTCAGCATATTTCAGCATGATTGCAGACACTGGGACCCAACCTGGTCAGCTTAAGTATTGAAGATTCCTACTTAAAAGGCTACCTTTTGGCTAGAGCCTTATGGAAATCTTACGTCTTGGCCCTGGATGTCGGGACTGCTGCGAAGGCAACGCATGAAAGAATATGACGGGTAAAATGTGATAATTTAAAATTTGGATCATTAATACTATCATGACGATCATGATGATTATCACAGTTACTATCATAATATCATCATCAATATATGATTGTGGATATCAGCATTGATATCACAACCAATATCATCATAAATATCATCCTTGACATCATCATTAGTATCACCATTCATATCATGATGGATAACACTAATATCATTATTAACTATTAACTATTAATGTCATTATTAGTATCATGGTTATTATCATTATTCATATTATTACTATAATTATATAATACCTTTATTGATATTGATATTATCATTCATATCATTGAGATCATCAGGCATATTATTTAACCGCCTTCGGTGTGTTCCGCCGGCCACCATGGAAAGAGCTATCCTGTAGGCTGCAAACAGCCCTTGCGCTGGTGTTTGTGGATAACACAGTTTTTGTGTAAAACAGCTCTTTGTGTAAATGATGGTTTGGACGCAAAAACATTGGTTTTGTTCAAACCACGGTCTAGGTTTAAACCAAAGCATGTGTGTAAACCAGGGTTTTGGAAAAGGCCATATTTTGAAAGGTTATGCGTACAAAAGGTGTTCGGCGCAAAAGCCAGTGGATCAAGTATTGGATATAAAAAGCGACGGAGCAAACCGATGGCAAACACAACAAAAAACCGGAAACAACCATCGACATGACAGCAAGATGTGCAAAACCAAGCCGGTGTTGAGCGAGTCGTGGGCAGAGTTGAGCCCACCACAACGGAAGGAAAGATCAAGACGAAACGAAGAAGAGCTAGGTGGGGGGCGGAGGGGGGGTTCAAGTTAGACGAGGCAAAAATCCGTGCCTTTCCAGAACTCCAATCCCAATTGTATGTGGTTCGCTTTCCCGTGCGGCCCTGACGGACAATATGTCGTTGGCAACAAGTTCTGTGGCACGTTCATGTATACACGGTGCATCCCCTGCCTCTTCTCATGGCTTGTGTCGCAGGTGTCCTGTCGCACACATACAACCAACTTGAGAGGGGGAACACGAAACAGACAGTACAACTACGAACAAGCAAGATCCACAAGACACGCTACTGCTACCTCTAGGACTGCTACTACTACTACCACCACTGCTGCTGCTGCTACTACTACTACTACTACCACTACCACTACCACTACCACTACCACTACCACTACCACTACCACTACTACCACTACCACTACCACTACCACTACCACTACCACTACCACTACCACCACTACTCCTACTACTGGTATTAGTAGTAGTGGTAGTAGTAGTAGTAGTAGTAGTTGTAGTAGTAGTAGTAGTAGTGGTAGTAGCGGTAGTAGTGGTAGTAGTGGTAGTAGTGGTAGTAGTGGTAGTAGTGGTAGTAGTAGTAGTACTACTACCACCACCACCACCACGACTACTGCTACTGCTACTGCTACTGCTACTGCTACTGCTACTACTGCTACTGCTACTGCTACTGCTACTGCTACTGCAACTACTGCAACTACTGCAACTACTGCAACTACTGCAACTACTGCAACTACTGCAACTACTGCAACTACTGCAACTACTGCAACTACTGCAACTACTGCAACTACTGCAACTACTGCAACTGCAACTACTACTACTACTACTACTACTGCTACTGCTACTGCTACTGCTACTGCTACTGCTACTGCTACTGCTACTGCTACTGCTACTTCCTACTTACTACTTACTACTCACTACTTACCACTTACCAGTTACCACTTACTACTTACTACTAACTACTAGCTACTAACTACAAACTACAAACTACTCACTATTGTCTACTTACTAACAACTAACTAACTACTAACTACTAACTACAAACTACTAACTACTAACTACTTGGTGCACGACCCCCAGGCAGCCGTGGTAAAATCTGCATTCTGAGATCTCAAAAAAGTGTCTGGCGTTGTGGCGCCGTAACGATTTTGATATTTTAGGTGTGAAAATCAGGGTTTTGGAATTTCACAAAATTATTTTTTTTGCACAACATCTGCTCGACCCTGGCCGTTTTTTCTTCCATGGTTTCAGCGGACTAGTTTGGCGGCTTTGCCCAACCTTGGACGACACTTGGCTGACACGGTCCCAGGAGCTTTTGCCACATGAACTGCTGAACTAATTTTTACAAGAACCTAAGCGTAGCATCACGCGCGTGTCTGCAGTTCCAAGAACCTGTTAGAAGCGTAGCATCACGAGCGAGCGTGTCTGCAGCTCCAGGAACCTATTAGACGCGTAGCACCACGAGCGTGTCTGAAGTTCCAAGAACCTGTTAGAAGCGTGGCATCACGAGCGTGTCTGCAGTTCCAAGCACCTGCTAGAAGCGTAGCATCACGAGCGTGTCTGCAGTTCCAAGAACCTGCTAGAAGCGTAGCATCACGAGCGTGTCTGCAGTTCCAAGACCTTTTAGAAGCGTAGAACCACAAGCGTGTCTGCAGTTCCAAGAACCTGTTAGAAGCGTAGCATCACGAGCGTGTCTGCAGTTCCCAGAACCTGTTAGAAGATACAAAGAAGCGCCCGACAAGAACGTTATTACACCCCCCCACAACCCCCAACCCCCCAACCCCAGAAATATATGTCAAAACACAAGTGACGCGGCATGAAAAATGTCAAACATCACATAAAACCACACGGCCCAGTAGGGGTCGTGCTCCAACTACTTACTAGCTACTAACTACTTACTAACTACTAACTACTAACTATCACTACTAGGTACTAGGTACTAAGTACTAAGTCCTAAGTGCTAAGTACTAGCTACTAACTACTAATTAGTACTACGACCACTACGGCTACGACTACGACTACGAATGCGACTCCTACTCCTCCTACTACTACTACTACAACACTACTACTACAACACTACTACTACTACTGCTACTACTACTACTGCTACTACTGCTACTACTGCTACTACTGCTACTGCTACTGCTACTCCTACTGCTACTGCTACTGCTACTGCTACTGCTACTGCTAGTACTACTGCTACTGCTAGTACTAGTTCTAGTTCTGGTACTCATGATGATTATAAAAAGCATCATCATCATCATCATCTTCATCATCATCATCATCAATATCAGTAAGTGTATTCCCGCCCTGTTGACGCCAAAGTCGCTGTGCTGCCAGACTGCGGCTCCCAACTGGAAGGAACTCAAGGTGCGCGGTGGTCGGGATTGGCAGCGACCAACTCAGATGATACCAATTGATGGCCTCAACGATTTGTTGAGGAAACCTGTTAAGGTCAACCCTGGCTGGCTGATGAATTTTGAGGATTAGCCTCCTGCACCAGCATCTTTTTTGGGCCAGGAAATTGAGGACAACAAGGGCAAGAAGCTGCTTGGCAAGTTGTTTCATTGGCCCATTAAGAGGGATGTGTGGGTTTCTCCAAACATGGTTGATGATCCTCTGATGGATAGTCAATCAAGGGGAACATGATTTTCACTACTTCGAGTTGTTTTTCCTAAAATTGTTATATGCCATGGGTTGCCCACACCCATGAACTACCTCGTTGCCCGCCCCGTTGTTCGCAATGAACTCGAGATGGATTGCCCGGAAACAACCCAAACTATGTCCAGTATCGTGCACTTGACCTCACTGCGGTGCACAAGACCAATGGTTAGTCGGGGCAACCATCCCAAAAATGGTTTTATTTCAGGATTAGTTATTGTAATTTATCCAGATCCAGATGATTGTATATAAATATAGACCTCCTGGAAAGATAGAATATGGTATTCTTGTGAAAATCCTCACTGAAATGCGACTATGATTTTCA